GTTCATTTTCCTTGCCCACTGCAGGTCATCTGACCCGTGTGTTCAGAGGTGCCGATCCTGAGGTGAGTCAGAAAGGAACATTTGATGTTCCTGGTGTTTCAGAATTGTGCAGGGAACTGTGAGCTTGGTCTGTGGCAGTAGAGTGTGGAGGGGCAGCTGGGTGGGCTGAAAGAAGATCCATTTCCATGTTTACAACAGCAATAGCAAAGGCATTGTTGGTTATTTCCTAATTTTCCATTGCAGAGCTTTAAAAGAAGTAAAAGCCCAGTTTTGGAGAGAGAACGTTGCTTGCTGATAGTAGCCAGGGTGAACTCTCTAATTCAGAACTATTTGCAGTATGGCTGAATTAACCCATTTTAATTTAGTTGGAGAGACTTAGAATCCCATTGCTATCAAAGCTGATGATTTGTGCTTGGTAGAGCTGGTTGTGGAAATAGAGCTGAAGAGAAATAAGGTTCTAAATGATAGGTAGCTGCCTGTCCCTAACTCCACCATCTGTCCACAGAGCCCAGAAGCAAGAGCAGACTCTCCTGGGGCTCCCTCTGCTCCTGGAGAAGAGGCCAAAGAGGAGCAAAATGAGCAAAAGGACCACGAGCCTCCAGCTGTGGTCACAGCCCAGCCTGACCATCCCCAGACAGTAAGTGCCAGTGCTGGGTGGTGCTGTCTTTAGTGCAAGGCAGAGCTGCAAGTTTCTGAGCAGCCAGCACTTGCTGTTGCTGGCTGAGGATGCTGAGTGCTGGAGTCCTGCCAGCACCCAGCCATTCCCCCATCCCGTGGCAGCTGGAAATTGGGCTTTGAGCCGTCGTGCTGAGGCCCCAAAGCGCTGCTGCCTGCGGGTGAGCAGTTGGCTGCTTGGCTCAGGGAAGCTCTGTCTCTTGGCTTCTGCAGTGCCATGGCCAAGGGCTCACACGGCATTTCTGGGGCTCATAGGGCTTGGTTTGTTTGCTTTCCCTTTTTGGAAACCTCTGGATGACCTGGAGAACTGTTCTGCAGTTTTCTGGAGTAATTCTTCCCAGCTACAGAGTCTTTTAGTCCGCCTGTGTTTTGGCTTTTGATAAGCTGCAAGGAGATGATTGTGTTGTCCATGAAGCTGTGGCCGGCCATTCTTGTCCTGTGTGGCCAAAGAAACAAACTGCGTAGTTCTGAACCCTTCTTCTGAGGCAAAATCCACAAGTGGCAAGTTTCTGTTGATACGTTTTGTGGTGAAGTCTGCAGCTTTGGAAACTGCATTGGAGCCTAGTGTGGGGGCAAAGCTGCAAGTCCTTGAGTGCTGTCTTGTGTTGCTAAGAACAGGAAAGGCATCTGGAAATGATAGCTGCAGTATTTTAAGTCAAATGTGCAACTGGGTGTCTGGGCAGCTGCCTGGGACCTAAGCAGCCAGGGGTGCCGCTCAACAGCAGCTGAAGCTGAGCCAGGCTGGGTTGGCTCAGGTGGCCAAGAAGGCCAAGGGCCTGCTGGCCTGTGTCAGCAATAGTGGGGCAGCAGGAGCAGGGCAGTGACCGTCCCCCCGTGCTGGGCACTGCTGTGGCCGCAGCGCCAGTGCTGTGTCCAGTTCTGGGCCCCTCTGATCAGAAAGTCATTGAGGGGCTGGAGTGTGTCCAGAGAAGGAGAAGGGCACTGGGGAAGGCTGTGGAGGACAAGTGCAATGAGGAGGTGCTGAGGGAGCTTTAGCCTGGAGAAAGGCAGGCTGATGAGTGACCAGCAAACAGACTTCCATAAATCCCTCCATGACCTTGCTCACCACAAGGGCTTTTTCCCTGCCAAACATCCCCTCCCTGCATCCAAGTACTTTTGACACTGGAGGAGGTGACATTTTCACCTTATCTTTGTTGGATTGTTGGTCTGCTAAGAGGAGAAAACATGTTTCTTTTCTCTTTCTCCAGTAACCAAAGATGTTTTTTGCTCCAGATTTCCTGTCCTTTTCCAGCACTGGTTGAGATTGTGATAGACTTTTAGTTTGCAAGGTGGAAGTTCTGGAAGATGCAGTATTTTTGCATGAGAACACGTAGTTTGGGGCAGGGATGTTGGTGCAGAAGGAGCTGTTCTGGTGCCAGGCCAGACAGCAGAGCTTGCACATCATTTTCAGGTTAACAGTGTCCGTGTCTTTTTGGAAGCCCAAGGGATCAGTATGGGTTGTGTTTGGGAATTGAGCAGGAAATCAATGCCCTTGCATTCCAGCTGGTCCTCCAGAGATCAGAGAGGCTGGGAGGGGCTGGGATTAATTTCTGATTCATTTCCAGCACTGTCACCGTGGTTGAGTCCAAGAGAAGAACTTGTCTGAGCACAGATGCACAAAGACTGCAGTTCCCAGTGCAGGGCTCTGGCTCTGATCACATTCCATAAGGACCGACACGCTCCAGATTCCCCAAGAGTGCGGTTTATTGGAGCAACAGGAGAGCGAGTTCAGCATTGCTGCTGATCGGGGAACTGGCTGCCAAGGGTTGATGTGTGTAGTGACAGAAAGTATAGTAAGAGAGTTTATAATAGTGAGATTTAGCTGTCTGTCTATCTATCTGTCTGTCTGTTCATCTATCCATCTGTTGAGGGTTAGGTGTCCTTTTTTTGGTTTTTTTTGTTTGTTTTTTGTTTGTTTGTTTGTTTTTTTGTTTTGTCCTTCAGGCCTGCCCGGGGAATTTTTACCCATTATGTGCTGGGACAACCTAACTACCGGTACTTAGGGGTGATTGACAACGGACAAAGAGTAGCCGGGCCCGGGGGGTGGGGGGGAAGGGGGCAGAAAAGGAGGGTGGGGACAGTTTTTAGCTGGCTTTTTCTTCGGCTTCGGGGAAGGACGTTCGTGTGCTGGGTCGCGGAGCTGCTGCGGTGGAGAGAAGGGAATTTTTCGTCATCACCCAGACAGAGCTGCTGCTTCTTCTCCTTCTCCCCTCTTGGTTGGTGGCCTCTCACACCCTGCCCTGCCGGGACGTGTGGCAGCCACCGCCGCGGAGCTGCTGATACACCTCAGCCACCGGCCCAGGATCTCAGCTCATCCCTGCTGTTTCCAGCCGACTGTTCCTCAGATCCCTGCAGGAACACCGGGACTGACTGCCTGAAGGGTTTGTGAAAACAAAGCCTCTCCTCCATCCCATCTCAGCTGAGAAAGCTGTCCCGGGGTTCCTGGTTCTGTGTTCTTGTTATTGCTGTAGTTATTGTTTGTTTGTTTGCCTGGTTATACTAGTAAAGAACTGTTATTCCTATCCCCAGATCTCTGCCTGAAAGCCCCTTGATTTCAAATTTATAATAATTCGGAGGGAGGGGGTCTACATTCTTTCATCCCAAGGGAGGCTCCTGCTCTCCCTAGCAGACACCTGTCTTCTAGAACCGAGACACCATCTATCTATCCATGTAACTTTTACATAATTGATTCTTCCCGGCTCTGGTCCAAAGCCATTGGGGGTGCAAATCTCACCTAAAGGCATCCCTTTCAGGAGAAGAGAAGAGACATGTTCTGTTGACTGATCCTCAGCAGGCAGAGATGTTTCCCCCTTTAGAGATGGTTGTTTTTTTCCCCTCAGAGCTGTTTTCCTTCTCCTGCCTCTTCTGTCCTGACACTCCCTGTTTAACCTATAAATTTCTGCCTGTCTTAGTGAGGTGGGTCCATGTTTTAGGTGGGTTTTGGTAACTTTGGTCATACATGCATTACATGACACATGGCTTCCTTCATTGGCATCCCTAGGGGTGTGTCAATTAATTTGTTGATGGGGCCTTTTGAGGATCTCTGTCACTGCCGCTCAGAATTCTCAGCTGACAAAAGAGGGAGGAGAAACACCTTGGTCCTCTTCCATATCCTGAGGTGGCCATAGAGGCTCTCTGACCTGCAGCAGAGGATCAAATTGCACACATCCTTGTCTCCTGAATGAGCAGGATTTCTAACAAGAGTGTAGATGTCAGAAGGGCAGGAGTGGCAGTGCAGGCCTGAAAAGAACATGAACTCCAGCAGTGTCTCTCCCAAGGGGTGAGCTCACCCAGGAAGCCCCTGCAGAGCCAGGATGGAGCTGTGGGACAGGGCTGGCTGTCAGTCACTATGGAGAGACAAGCAGGACACAGCAGAAGGGGAGGGAGGCCCTGGAGAAATGCCCCACATTTCCTGTCAGCTGCCCAAGAGTCTGTTGGAGATTCAGTGCCAGATGGGCCCTGATTGCACTGCCAGGGTCACTTTGGAATCTGTGCTTCCCCACGGGCAGAGAACAAGGCAGGAGAGCAGCAGCACAGAGCTTTGGGAACGTGGGAGCCCATCAGTCTTTGAGTCTTGGCCCACAAATGTTGTATGAGAAGTTGAAGCCCATCTTCTCTTGCTTTCTCTGCAGGTCCTTCCAGAGAAAGAGCAGGAGCAGATTGTTTTCTCAGGGAGGCCGTGCCAGACTGAGGGAGAGCTGTTCCCAGCCCAAGAGCAGGAAGAGCAGCTGGGGCAGCAGGTGGAAGAGCCACTGGAGAATGGCCAGGTAAGCCTGACTCAGCAGGGGACAGAGTGAAGGGCAGGAAGAGGGGCATAAAACGCAGCTCTTGGGACTGAGCAGGCCACGAGTGCCAGAGGCCCTGAAAGCAAAGAGCCTCTGCAGAGATCAGCAGCGGGACAGGAGGTTACAGTGGAAGCAGAGGTGGGTAGGGAAGCAGAAAGAAGTGACTGAATGAGTGTGATTTTGAGGCTGAAACTGAGGAAGAAGCTGAGCCTGATGGCAGCTCCCAGGCACTTGCTCTCCATTTGTGTGTACAGAACATCAAGGCAGAGCCCCAAGCAGAGCTGCCCGAAGCTCAGAGGGCCATCATGGCAGTGAAGAGGAGGCACGAAGAAGACAGGAGAAACATCCAAGAGGAGATGAATCTCCATTGGCAGAGGAAATCAACAAAACCAGATGAATGAAAGAGTGGCAGACACTCCACTCATGAAAATTCCTCTCTGTCGTTCTTCACAGGCCTCCGAGGAGAAGCTGCTGGCAGAGCTGCAGGAAACTGAGGCTAGGATCAGGGCAAGGGAGAAGAGGCTGGAGGAAGAAAGGAGAATCATCGAAGAGAAATTTCATCTCCTCGCTCAGAAGCAAGAGGCTCTAGAAAATCGAGTGAGTGAAAGAGCGATAGGCACAGCAGTCACTGCAGTCTGGTGCTTTCTGCCCTTCTTGCCTTTCCTCTGCAGAGCAGCAGGGGGGTGGGCTGATGCCTCTCAGTGCCATCCTGCTGTAGTGTCTATCCCAGCTGCTTGGAAGGACATTTCCTGCTGGGCTCAATCTCAGCTGCTGCCCTGGACAGTGGCACCAGTCATTTGCCCCTTTTGCCAGCACTCATCTCAAGGGATTCCTGCTGGCCTGCTCCTGCTCTCCTTGTTTCTTCAGGGCTTTTTGCAAGTGAACAGAGTCCCCCAGATAGATTTGGAATACAAGCTGCAAGCTGTCTGTATCCCTTGGTGAATCTGCTGCTGTCCTGCTCTTTCCCTTTGCTCACAGTCAATGAGCCTTGGCAGACAGGGACAAGCTGTGCTCTCTGACTGCTTTGTTCTGTTTGACTTGAGGTGGACGTGTTGATATCTCACCTGGCAGCCTGCGAAGGCTTCCAGCAAATGCCTGGTGATGAAGAGCCCCAAGGTCGGCGGGAGGCACAGGTACTGTCCCAAGCACAAGTGCTGCAGGCTGAGCACCTTCTGAAGATGGTGCAGGAAAAGAGGACTGAGGGGGAGGAGCTCCAACATTAGAACAAGGAGCTGCAAATGTGTCTGCAGCCCTTGGAGGGGGAAAGGGATCCTTGGGAGGAAGTGGAATGGTCGTTGTTGCAGTCATCCTTCAGAAAATCCAGGAAAATGGAATATGAAACTGGCCATGAACTTGATTAAATCCAACCTTGGGTTTTGACCATTTGGTTTCAGAAGCGGGCATCCAAAAAATCCAGTTGATGAGCTTTGCATGTGGCTAACAGCAACTTCCTAAGGGCTTGCATTTGAAAAGGGAACTCGGGGTAATCTCTGCCAGCCAGCTTTCTGACACAAACTCCTTTCTTCTCTCAGCTCTCCACAGGCTCTTCCATTGAATCTGCTGCAGCAGCAGCAGCAGCAGCAGCATCTAAAGGAGCCTTTGTTCCCCAAGCTGAGCAGTGGAGCCCGGGCAGTTTGTCCATTTCCAGCAGTGACACATCTGCTGCTCAGCTCCAGGAGAGCCAGGGAGACTTCCTGGAGCAACTGAGTACGTCTGGTGTATTTCTTGTCTGAGGGACAGTGTATTGTGTGCACGTGCCAGCAGAGCTGTAGCAAATGATCCTCCTCCCTTTGGTGTCCCAGAGACATTTAGGACTCCCCACAGGAACTGCTGTGCTCTGAGGCAGCGAGAGAGCGCTCTGGGTGTTCCTGCTGCCTCTGAGGGCAGCTTGGACTGGCTCGGCTTTGCCTGGGATTCCCTTGCCACTAAAGGCAGAAGCAGGAATTGTTCTTGGATCAGCAGAAGGCTGTGACCTAGCAAATTATCTATGCAAGTTCTGTGTGCTAGTGGCCAAACTGAACAGAATATTTGATTTTTAAATTCTACTTAGACTCCAGACTTCCCACCAGTCGTCAGAACCAAAATACCTCACAGAAACTGATTTGCTTTGGGGCTTTGTCTTTTTGCTGCGGTTCTGTTTTCAGTTTGGGGTTTTTTATAGATTTTTGGTTTTGGTGTTTTTTTGGTAGAGTTTTCTTTTTCTCCATCCTGAAAGAGCTGTTCTGCCCCATGTGTCTTACTGCTGTCATTTTTATGACTGTTTTTATTGCCTCTACTACATCTACAAGGTTTTTATGAGAATGCTGTATTTTTGTCAAAGGAGTCAGTGAGGACTCCTTTGCAAGAACATCAGGTGACAGCAGAAACAGAGAGCAAGAGATGTTTTCATTGTGCCCACAATGAAGAAACAGATATTTGTATAACAATCTCTAATTAATATCCTAGTTTTATTCTTATAAAGATGTGTCCAAGA